TTGACATAATGGATGTATGTGTGGATTGTGATAAGAGTTGTTCAAGACCCCAATAAAATGATTTAATTATTAAATAAATAAATAAATAAATAGAGCAGGGTAATACACTGAGCTATATCTCTAACTTACCAAAGTGGTGGCTTTCCTACTGTGGAATACTAGCTTTCCAGGTTCCCTCTGTTATAAATTAGGGAAAATAGTCCTCATCATATTTCCCTCAGTGTTAGTTTCCCAAAGTTGTGGGTGCTATTAAATCTTAATATGAAGGTCAAGCAGAGGCAAAGGAGATGCAGGGTCTAGAGCCCCAAGCCCCAAATGTCCAAAAGTCGAAACAGGTCTTTTGCTTCTATCAAGTCTCGGTCGGGAAGCAGAGGTCATCAAAAGGGCGCCTTTGGTAGAGCTGTGCTTTCTGCTTCCTAACCCTCTAGCCAGCAATACTTCCTGCCCAGTGAAAGCAAACAATGATGACATAAGTCACACTCTCTCAGAAAGTCAGATCTAAGATGTGTCTCGCTTTAATCCTGCAACAGAGAACCCCCTCCACAATGGGATCCTAACCACCAGCCCAAGAGGCTAGAATCTGCAACACAGCACGAAATAGATTAGGGCAGATGAGAATGTGGCTAGAAGGGTCATGTTAAAAAATCCACTTTTAGACAGCCAGGGATATTTGATAAGACAGGACCTACAATTCCTAAATCCTTATTCTGAAGTGACATGTGAGAGATGAACACCGAAGTAGCTTTGCATTAGAAAGAAGCGAGGTAAACTACAATACTCTTTCCTTTTGATGCATGAAGAGCAAACTATTGGCTTGATTATAATGACTCAAAATTAAGGTCAGGGAGTCCATTCTCCCAGGTAAGACTGGCTTAGAGCTTGTGGATTTGATTTAAGGCCAAAATGAAGGTCCTTATTTATTCTATCCCTCCACTCCAGAATCTAGATCCTGAATTCTGCCAAGAGGGTGCTCACATGTACAGTTCAGTCTGAACACATCTACTCAATAACATTTCATAGGCAACTTAGTTTCCCAACTTGGTTATCTTCATAGTAGACACTGCAACTAAAAGGTCTGCCTTTTCCTAGTCCTGTATCTAGTTTGTGACAACCCTCACCCTTCTGAACAGTCTTTGAAACAAACTGCAGATGATAGTAAGACCCAAGCACTGAGCACATGGCAAAAGGACGATCATGCTATCCCTGCAATCCTGTCCCTCCCCCTTTCCCTCCCTCCCCAAGAACAGAGCAAACCAAGAATGCTACAAAGAAACACCCTCTTTAACATATTGAAGGAGCCCTCATAGCGTAGTAGTTACACATTGGACAGCAAAGTGCAAGGTTGAGAGTTCAAAACCACCAGTCATTCCTTGATAGCAGTGAATTTAGTTTGGGGCTTTGTCTTACATATTGTTGGATGTCTAACAGCTGTTATAATTTAGTGAAGGATTGCAGACAGGGATTGCCTGTGTTGGAGAGTGCCTCAAAGTGCCCCTATCCTGTCATTTCTAGATAGAACTCATTTTTAATAGTTTATTTTTTATTCTAGTACCTGTTCTACTACCCTGACACCGCTGCGGAAAATGCAACAGATCACACCAGAAGTTGGCTCTGGTGAGACAGCCCCAATGGGTCTCCAAATGGGACAGCCAACAGCTCTAAAGTTATATCTGTGGAAAGCGCTGACTGAGAAGTTCTTGAAGGGTGAGCCCAAGGTCCTTGGGGTAAGTCAGGCACCAATCTGATTTAGAGGATAAGGATGTTGTAAACCAAAAACTGATCAGAACTAATGACAACTACTCTCTCTCCCTAGCCTCAAAGCACCACTTGTCCCTCTGTGTGTCATACTGCTGTGACTTGGTTCTTGGAACTAGGTCACCAGTATTTCAAACGTTAGCTGGGTCACCATGTTAGACTGGGTTCTCTACAGAAGCAACACCAGTGACACTCGTAGATGCGTCTAGGAAGAGATTTCTAACAAGAAATGGCTCACACAGTTGTGGAAATGGTTCAGTTCACTGTAGTTCAAGTCGGTGGGTCAGAAGAAGCCGAGGCTTTCTTCTGACACCTGGAGCTGTAGAGGCTGGTGAACAGGAAGCAGGAAGATGAAGCAGGACGATCACAGGCTGGTGGATGCCCAGCTGAATGCATCTGAGATTGGCCGAATGAAGCCAAGATTGGTAGTCCACTGACAGTTTATGAGATCAGCAGACAATAAAACAGGAGGCTGATGAACCAGATGCAGGATCCAAGTCCAGCCATAGAAGTCAGATAGCTTCCATACATTGTCAACTTGTAGTTAGAGAAGGTCATACACTATGTTAAATCTCCTTCAATCGTATCAATGCTGTGACCAGATTAAGGAGATCTATTATCCTCACAACTGTTTGACTGCTTCTTTGAAGATCCCATTATGGAGTTGAGCACACTATGATAGACCAACTCATGGGGGAATCCTGGTTCACAGTGACATAAATCTAACTATCACAGTCACCCAAGCTGAGCAGTTTTCAGAAGAACTTCCAGATTAATAACAAACTTGGGAGAAGGAATAGTCTGTCCACTTTATGAACACCTGTGGAACATTGTCACACGCCAGCATATGAATCCATCAGGTTGGAAGACTTTCAAATATGACTAAGGAAGTGCTCCCTCCCCAAAGGAGCATTGACCGTATTGATGTGACTGGTGTAAAGGTATTGAGACCTCATTTGTTCCTGGGAAAGGATTCAAAATGAGAAGAAACGTCTGCAAACATCTATTAATAATTATAATCTGGGATACACAAGGTTCAAATCTAAGAAAATTGGAAATCATCAGAACTGAAATGGAGTGCTTAAAGATTCATATCCTAGGCATCAGCGAGCTGATACTTGGTGACTATTTTGAATCAGATAATCATATGGTTTACTGCACTAGGAATGACAAATTCAAGAAGCATGACATCAAATCCATTGTCAAAAAGAGAATGATGAGGGCAATGAATGTACAAATGCGCTTTACACAATTGATGTGTGTAAGGATTGTGATAAGAGTTGTATGAGCCCCTAATAAAATGATTTAAAAAAAAAGAACATTTCAAGATCAATCTTGCAGTACAATGCTCTCTGTATTTAGTTAATGTCTTTATGCTTGCAAGAAGGTCCCATTCATACAAATATTATTCAAATTTATGCACCATGCATGAAAGCTAGTGATGAAATTAAAGGTTTCTACCAATTTCTTCAGTCTAAAGTTAATCAAATATGTAACTAAAATTCACTGGTAATTGCTGGTAATTGGAATGCAAAAGCTCGAAACAAAGATGAAACAGTAGTTGGAAAATATGAATTTTGTGGTAGAAATGAAGCTGGAGATTGCATAATAATATTTTCCAAGACTAATGACATCTTCACTGTAAATATGGTCTAACGTTATAAATGACAACTTTATACAGTGACCACACCAGATGTAATACAAAGACATCAAATTGATTACAACCGTAGGATGAGGAGATGGAGAAACTCAGTATCAGCAGGCAACATGAGATCAGGACTGACTATGACAAACCACCGATTCATTACTTGTAATTTCAAGTTGAAGTTGAAGAAAATTAAAACAAATCCATGAGAGTCAAAATATATATAACATCTGAATTTCAAGAACATCTTAAGGGATATCATTGCTGATTTCAAGTGTCTCTTGGTTGAAAGAAGACAATAAAAAAAGATGTTTACTTGTGATTTATTAACTATGCAAAGGCATTTGACTGTATCATAAAAATACTGTGGATCACATTGAGAAGAATAGGAATTCCAAAACACTTCATCATACTCATTTGGAACCTGTACAGCTCTTCAAGCAAAACATGGGAATATTTTATGATTTAAAATCAGGAAGAGTGGGGGAGCGGAGAGGGAGGGGAAAAATGAGGACCTAATGCCGGGGGCTAAGTGGAGAGGAAATGTTTTGAGAATGATGAGGGCAATGAATGTACAAATGTGCTTTACACAATTGATGTATGTATGTATTGTGATAAGAGTTGTATGAGCCCCTAATAAAATGATTTTTAAAAAATCAGGAAGAGTGTCTGTCAGTGTTGTATCCTTTCACCATATTTTTACAATCTGAGAAGCTGGACTATATAAAGAACATGATCAAAGTTGGAAGAAGGCTTCTGAATAACCCATAATGTATTGATGATACAAGCTTTCTGAGAGTGAATACTTAAAGCATTTGCTGAAGATCAAGGACTGCAGCCTTCAATATGGATTATATCTCAATGTAAACAACAAGAGCAACAAAAAAACCCTTCACAACTGGACCAGCAGACTCCATAATGATAAATGGTGAAAGTATTGCAATTTCCAAAAATTTCATATTGTTTACATTCACAATCAATGTTCATAGAAGTAGTAGTCAAGAAACCAAAGGATGTATTACACTGGGCTACTGCACAAGACCTCTTTAAAATGTTGAAGAGCAGGGATATCACTTTGAGGACTAATGTGTGCCTGATCAAGCCCTGGTATTTTCAATCACTGCATATGCATGTGAAAGTTGGACAATGAATGGGAAGACCACAGAAGAATCAATGCATTTGAATTGTGGTACTGGAGAGGAATATTGAAAAGTGCCCTGGATTGCCAAGAAGCCAAACAAATATCTTGATGTGGTAGTCGCCTAATCTGGTGTCAATTTAAGGATTAAGAGTGTTGGGGTGGAGTCTGGGCTGTCAATCTGGGGATAGCCAATGAGACTTCTGTGGGCATGGCCTTCTCCTGAGAATTCTGGGAAATCATGGTACTTCCTCCTTAGAGGCGAAGACACCTCTCTCTCTCTGCTACTCCCTGGGAGATATTGAAGAAGACAAGGCACATGGATGCAACCAGACCTAGGAAGCCGGAGAAGGCAGCACTGAGATGCTTACAATGCCACTGGACCCAAAGACTTTCTACCCACTGACTTGTAATTGTCCTTCATTTGGCTTCATTGCATTTGTTTCGTGAGTCTGAAGAGGACTCTATAGATTGGTATTAGACATATGGGCTAATATTGGACTTATGGACCTGATCTGGACTGGGCTGGGATGTTTTCTCAATATTCAATTGCTCTTATATATAAATCTCTCTCATATATATAGGTGTGGCAATGGATTTGTTTCTCTAGTCTACTTAGACTAACACACTTGGAATAGGGTAGTCAGCATCCTTAGAAGTGAGGACTGCGAGACTTTGTCTCCTGAACTTTGGACAGGCTCGTAAGAGACTAGTGTGGAGCAGGACATCATGCTTGAGAAAATGAGGAAGAATCTGGATGAGACGGATTGATCCAGGGGCCGTAACAATGGACTCAAATATAACAACTCTTGTGAGACTGGTGCAGGACGGGCAGTGTCTCCTTCTTTCGTGTAGCGGATTGCTAGGGGTTGAAACGAACTCGAGGGCACCCAACTTTAACAACAACAGCTTGGCTGAAAACACATCAACTGATCTTCAGCCATCAGTGTTTGATGTTCAGGCCCAATCACTTGAAAAAAATGGCACAATATTCTACCATGTGCTTCATCCAGAGTAAACATACTGAACTTCTCTATGGAAGAGAAGCAAAAGATAAGGCTGTGTGTGAACTAGCTGTCATTTCCTTTACAGCAGCAGTCCCCAACCTGTGGGTCGCAACCCCTTTGGGGGGGTCAAACGACCCTTTCACAGGAATCGCCCGATTCATCACAGTAGCAAAATTACAGGATGAAGTAGCAACAAAACTAATTTTATGGCTGGGGGGTCACCACAACATGAGAAACTGTATTAAAGGGTCGTGGCATTAGGAAGGTTGAGAACCGCTGCTCTATAGGCTTCCTGATACCTAATAGCCTAACATTGTTCATATCTCTGTCTGGCTTCTATTCATTATCAGTCCTTCTCCACAGATGGTGAAAACTCTCCTACCCTCTTGGCATTTCCGAGTGTGAGATTGATTTTCCGTAAAGGAATGAAGGGTGTAAACAAAGACATGTTCATGTTCATGGACCCAGTGAATCTTCTACATGCATGAACCTGTGTTTCTTTCTATAGCACAGGGTTCAAAGCCTCAGGATACAATTATTCTGGACATTTTTAATCTGTTTTTAATGCCATGGGAAAATTGTACTCAAAGCCCTGTTTTGTTTTCTTTGCTTTTTGTTTTTTACCTCTGTGCTCAAAATCATGGCTTCATGTCCAGGCCCCAAGAAATGGTCATATTTGCTTTTTTCTCGTCTTTCCCGATATGGATTGGACTTTCCTTCCTTCAGGCCACTCCTCCTTGCTGGAAGATATTTTTTCCTCGCTCCTTCATCTCCCCTGTGTGGGCATGGGACAAAGGAGAGCCACCCTTAGCATAGCAGCATAAGGCCCGGTCTTTCTTTACTTTGAAATATCTGGAGAAAAAAAATAGATATTCCAAGAGATAATTCTGGTAAGTTACCATATTCACAGTTCTTTATATGAAAAAATATTGATGTAAGAATATCTAAAAGCTCACCTGACTCTTTTGAAAGATTGAGGAGAGTAACTCAGTGCTTGGAGTGGGGAGTGACTTGAGCACTACTCATAAATTTTACTTTTTGTCATCATTTCTAGGTTGTCCAGATCCTGATTGCTTTGATGAACCTCAGCCTGGGAATAATAATGATGTGTGCCACATTGCCATTTTATGGCTGGAATCCCATTTCTGTCTTCATAGGGTACACAGTTTGGGGGTCAGTGATGGTAAGTAGAGTGCTTTCTGAAACAACTCATTCTGACTTGTAGTAGTTCTGTAACCCTGGAATATATATAAACTCCTTCTCATGATAATATAAAGGACACAGAAATATAGGCAAATAAAATATTTAATATATATTAGTTATAATATCTCACAGCTATATGTAACCAAAGACCCAACCCAATATTTTTTAAATATTGAAACAAACAAGCAAACTCACTGCCATCGAATCAATTCTGACTCATAGCGACCCACTGTGGGTTTCAAGGCTGTAACTGTTTGTGGGAGTAGACAGTCCAGTCTTTCTCCTGAGGAGCTTCTGGTGGTTTTAAACTGCCAACCATGAGGTTCACAGCCCAACGCATTATCACTATGCCACTCAGGCTCCCCTTTAAATATTGAAAGGATTGATTATTCAAACGAGGTCAATGGCAAGTCATTTCCAGATTGGTCCTTGGTTGGTGATACGGCAACTCCAGAAGTCTCCTGGTAGACGATATCGGCGAGTTGAAGGTCTTATAGCTGTTAGTATAGAAATCAGGGCTCACACTAAAATGGTCAAATTCCAGAATTGCATACAACTGATCATCCTGGTTTTCTGCTTTTGTTTTCATTTTCTTACCAAACCCACTTTGGAAACCTATGTTTATGGAATCCTGTGTAGTTTATGCCTTCTGCATATGTTAAATCGACTTCTGAGAACAGCAGGAGCAGGGCTTGTGAATTGAGGGGTCACTCAGACCATGACAGGGACCCCTCATTTCCTACTTGTATCCCGCATTTTTGTACTTGGTGCATTAATTGGGCTGCCCCCCAAATCCAAACTCACTGCCATCAAATCCATCAAAACCCTATCAGACAGGGTAGAATTGCCCCTGTCGATTTCCAAGTCTGTAAGTCTTTCCCAGAAGAGAAAGTCTCACCTTTCCTTCACTGTAAGCAGCCTAATGGTACACCATTAGGCCACACCCACCACAGCTCTGTGCTGCTGGTTTCAATGACTCCTCCTTCCACCTATTTCCAAACCTTACCTCTGAAGGGCCTTCTTTCATCCTCTTACAATGTACAAAGAGCAATAGCAGGAAGCAATATAATTTTTCTCTTCTTTTTTGTTCCCTTTTCCCCTCTGGTGATGCTATCAGATAAGCATCGCTAACCTCAAGGTCGGTCATTCAAACCCACCAGCCTCTCCTTGGGAGAAAGATAAAGCTACTGCTTCAGAAAAGACCTATAACTTAGGAAGTCACGGGCAGTGTTGATGTGAGTCAGAATCAACTCAATGGCAGTGGTTTGGGTCTGGGGTTCCGTTTAGGCCCCGGTGTAGCTGTATCTCTCTGACTAGGATCAAATAAAATTATCCTCATAAAAGTCTATTTGTTCAAGTTTTCTTCAAGCCTTATATACATAACACTTTGTATTCCCTCTTTTTTTTTTTCAATCTAAAATACTGTATAATTTCTTTGCTATGGTAAATGAGATCCTTTCATTCAGACTTGTCTTCAAACACATACACAGATACACGCATACTTACAATATGTATTATGGTTTTTCCCTTTAATGTTGATCCATCTGTTTGATTGGATCTTCCTATGAATCTCTCTGGTAGAATTTGTGTTTCTTCAAACATCATTGATATATTTCACATTTCTACCTAATGCAAGAATATATTTTGGTAAATTCAAACTTCAGATATCTTCTTAAAAATTGTATGTTCATTCTTTTTATAGTAGTGTCTAGTTGAGATTTTTGGATTTAATTCATATGTATATTTAAATAACATTAATTTTAACCATTTTTATTTAAAATTGTAATTTTATTGGTGAATATAAAATAGTCAGATCACTTTATATACTACCAGCCACCCTTTCTTGATTTTAATAAGTTGATTCTAGGGCTTTACTATGAAGCATGATGAAGACTTTTGGATTGAGATATTAATTTATGTTATGGATGGTACAATTCTTTATAATTTATCAAGAGGTTATGTTGAATTGCATAGATGCCTTACCAACAGGAGATACTTTTCCTTCGAATCTATTAATTTTATAAATTACAATGTTTTTTCAATATTGACAAAACAAAATATTTACAGGAAATACCTTATGTATTACATTCAATGTGATGAAGTCTTTTCTGAAATCTTGTTCGTATTAATCATCTTTATGTTTGGATTGAGGCATAATGGTACAGAGAGAGTTGCTTTGAGTAAGAGGACGCACTTGACAACACCAAACAAGTGGTTTCATTAGATAGGTCTCTTTGTTGGTATTAAAATACAATTGGGGTTGGGGGTGGGAGGGTGGGGTCTTTTGAAATCAAAGTATCAGAGCAAACTTTGAAACTCAAACAGTGAAATAGTCCAAGGCCTATTGGTTTGACTCTGACAATATTATCTCAAAGGAAAATATTTGTTGAATTGTTGCAGTCAAATGAACTAGTATATTCTAACCAGCTAATAAGCAATGTGACGTTTTTCTTTGCTACTCTTTTATTAGTGTTGGAAAAAGGGGAGTGTCAGTGAAAATGAGGTGGATTGACACTGTAGCTGCAACAATGGATTCCTAACAATGATTATGAAGACAGAGTCGAAATATGGTTTTGTTCGGTTGTACATAGTGTTGTAATGCATTAGAATTGACCCTATGATACCAGACACAATAGAAATAATCTCGTTTGTGCAAATATTAATATTTTAAATGAAGTTTAAAAATGTCTTCCTGGATTTGGTTTAGTAATATCTTGTTCACATTAGGTATCAATATCAGGGCTCATTTATATAAGGAATTTGGAAATTTTATATTTCATTGCTCTGGAACTGTTTTAATACTATTGCAATTAGCTATTTTTTTAAATGCCTGATACATTTTCCTATGAATCCCTGTGTTAGAATTTCTTCATTCTTTCTTGAGAAGTGGGGGAACTATTTACATTTTGTGTTTCTTCTACCACATTGCTCTGTTTAACATTTTAATCTAATGTAAGGACACATTTGGGTAAATTATAACTTAAATTATCTGCTGAAAATTTTACCTTAATTTTTCCTTTTGTTACTAGTTTATTATTTCAGGGTCCTTGTCAATTGCAGCAGGAATCAGAACTACAAAAGGTGTGGTGAGTAATTATTTTTATTATTTTTTTTAAATGAAAGAAGAAGGACTAATAATGCCTGATGACCCTACATTTTGTCTGTTTGTAAACAAGCAGGAGATTGTGAGTTTTAACTGCCATTAAGTTGGTTCGGACTCATTGTCATTCTACAGACAGCACAATGAAACTACCTAGCCCTGCATCATCTTCACATAACATGTTCAAAGCACACAAGACAAGGTCTCTCCTTCCTCGCTTCTAAGGAGCATTCTGGCTGTACTTCTTCCCAGACAGACCTGCTCCTTCCAGCAGTCCTTGGCTTTCAAATCTTCAGTTTCAGCAAACTAGGTGTTCTATTTGCATATTGTTGGTGAACCTTCCTCTAATTCAGATGCCTTGTTCTTCTTTGAACAGTGCAGCTTCTCAGCACAAAGATTTAATAAATATGGTGAAAAGATACAATCCTGGACTGGTCCTTCAATATTGCTAATCAACCAATTGTCCGTGATAGAATTATTGACATGAAGGTGAATATTTTGACAGAGTGGTCACTGAGAAAATCTTTATGAAGATACAGATCATTCTTCAGGGGCAGTCAAAATATCCTTACAACGCATACTTCATATCACATGCCCAAATTAACACAACATGGATCAAAGACCTACATATAGAGTCAAAAACAATAAAGTTCATGGAAGATAAAAGAAGGACAGTGTTAGAGCCTTTAATATATGACACAAATAGAATACCAAGAATAACCAAAAATACACAAACCACAGAAGATATGCTAGGCAAATGGGAAGTCCTAAAATGTAAACACTAATGCTCAATAGTAGAGTAAAAGGGGGATCTACAAATTGGCATTTTTCTTTTACCTTCTTGCAGCAATATATCTGACAAGAGACTAAAGTTAGAAAATCTCTAACATTTTATAAAAGTTCAACACCTCAACAACAGAATCCCAAAAGTATAATTTTAAAATGTGCAAAGGACATAAACAGATACTTCCTCAAAGAAGACATTTATGTGATTAAGAGATATGAAATATGTTCAAGAGCATTAGCTAGAAGAGAGATGCCAATCAAACGAAGAAAGAGATATCATCTCACCTTAGAAGTAATAGTGATGTATGTATGTATACATATTCATATATATATATTCATATATATATGCATATATATATGAATCAACAGATGCTGGTGAGAGTGTGGTGAGACTGGAATGCTCAGACCCTGCCAGTGGAATTGTAAAATGGTACAACCACTGTAGAAAATAGTAAGATGTCTCCTTCAATTAGAAATGGAGAAAGCATATGAGTGATTAATCCTACTACTTGGTTAGTTTATATCCCAGAGGGAAAAATGTCATGACATGAATAGAAATATGTGCACCCATGTTCATTGCAGCATGATTTGCAATATTAAAAATATGGACACTACCAAAGTGTGGATAAGGAAATTTTGTCACCTACATACAATAAAATAGTATGCAAAATAAAGAATAACTGTGAATCTATGGAGTATTTCATAACAAGAGCTAGCCTGGAGGATGTTAAGCTGAATGAAATAAACCTATCAGAAATGTACAAATATTATGAGACCACTATTATTAGAAAAATCAAGAAAATGTTTACACACAGAAAGAAATATTCCTGGATGGTTACCAGGGATGGGAGAGGAAGTAAGGATTTTACTAACTAGAGAGTAGACATTTGTTGACTTGGATGAAGGGAAATGCAATATACAATAAGGGAGAGGTCAGCACAGAATGACCACAGCAAAGGAAAACCATGGATGGTGTACAAGAGTAAAAGACAGCAATGGTAAACAATATTAAATACACAATCCTGCAATAACTGTAATAATAAACATTAATTTATGAGTATACACATAGGTAAATACCCAAGCTTAACAGGGAGAGGTTGGCATATGGGAGTGTGGCCAGGAGTACATATATAGATTTGGCATAGACTATTTGTGTGCACTACAAATAGAGATGTATTTCTCTGTGTGACAAATAAATACATGCATATAGTGGCATATACGGTGTACAAAATTATGAAAAGTTCATACCCATAACCAAACACCCCGAGGGACTGAGTCACTGGGCTTGAAGGCTTAGAACCAAGCATCTGGAGACATCTAGGTCTATTAAGAAGGCCTAGTTCACAGAGAGGAACCCTGGTGGTGTAGTGGTTATGAGTTGGCCTATGATCCACGTGGTGGGCAATTTGAAACCACCCGCAGCTCCCTGGGGAAGAGACTGTCCTTACTACTCTGGTAAACACCTGGGAAACCCACAGGGGATCATTATGAGTCCGCATTGACTGATGGTAGTGATTTTGGTTTAGTTCACAGTCAATGTTATACATGGTACCTTGGTGAATAGCTTTGGAATCTTAAGAGCAGGCAAATAGCAAAGCTGCAACAACTGGCGTACCCTTTTCTGTAACAAAAAAAGAACGAAGCAATTCAAAGACCTAAGGAAACATTAGTCCAAAGGCCTAGCGGAGCACGGGAACCACAGTCTCCACTCCATCCAAATCAGAACAATTAGATGGTACCTGGCTACCACTGCTATCCACTCAGATCAGGAGCACAATGGGAGGGTCTGGAGAAAGTAGGAGAAAAAGCTAGATGAAAAATTTTAAAAAATCATTAAAAAGCCAGATGTACCGTCCTGATAGAAAATGGTGGAAGCCTTGAGACCATGGCCCTTGGACACCTTTACAACCCTATAAAGCAAACAAACAATGCCTTTGAGGAAGGTATTGCTCAGAAAAATCAACCTTACATGACCAAAAGGGCAGCAGCTGCCCAAGAGCAAAGCTGAGAAGGCAAGACGAGACAGGAAAGCAAAGCAAAGAGAGATGAGAAAACCAGAGAGGAAGTGGGACGACTGTTGTTCCAGTGCATGGGAGGGGCTGCCACTATTGTGTCAGGACTCAAAATGTGCCGCAGTGAGGCCATCCAACAATGAATTGCATTGAAAAAATCTTCCCAGGGTTAAAAAGCCAGATGTCACTTTAAAGTATCCCTGACCCAAGCCATGGTATATGCATGGGAAAATAGCACCATAAATAAGGAAGATCAGAGAAGTGATGTATTTGAATCACGGTGTTGGTGAATACTATTGAATATAGTAGAGATGACCAGAAGACTGAACACATCTGTCTTGAAAGAAGGACAGCAGGAAGACTCCTTAGACGCTAGGATGGTGAGATTTAGTCTCAAAAACTTTGGACGTGCTATGAGGAGGGACCAGTCCCTAGAGAAGGACACCATGCTTGGAAAGTAGGAGAAGAAAAAGCTCTTCAATGAGATGGATTGATACCATGGCTGCTACAATGGACTCAAAGATATCAATGATGGTGAGGATGGGGCAGGGCAACAGTGTCATTCTCTTGGATCTACAGTTGCTATGAGTTGGAATTGACTTGACAGTACCTAACACATATTTGAAACCACCAGGCAATCCTTGGACGAAAGATGGGGCGCTTTACTCCCATAAAGAGTTGCAGTCTCAGAAATGCAGAGAGGCAGGGTCGCTAGGAGTCAGAATTAACTCCATGGCAGTGAGTTTGGTTTTGAGTTTATATGAGATCTAAATGACAACAGTAAGTCAAAAGATTAGATAGAAACTTGTAGGTGATGAGAAACCTATAGGGGAGAACTAGTCAGAAAAAGTGGGTGAGAATGTTTGCACACCTGGAGGAAGAATGTCATACATGTGCAGATAGAACTGCACAGATGGAAAGGGTTGATTTGATAGTTCATTGTGCATGTTCTCAACAACATCAAAAATTTACAAAGTGAAAAAGCCCTATGGAGCATTAGAATCCGTTTCATCATGATGAGTTTAGTTATTATAATTATTATAATAAGGAAAGGAATTGGGAGACAATTGCTGGAGATAACTATGTTGGGGTTAAGAAGTGGATGTGATGGTTGAAGACCAAACTGAGACTGTCCCTGGGCTATTTAATAGATTTCTCTTTCTTTTCTAGATTCGAGGTAGCCTAGGACTGAATATCACCAGCTCAGTCTTGGCTGCATCTGGGATCATAATCACTGGAATCAGCTTGACTTCTTATCACTACCTGCGGTATTACTGTGGTTATCATCGATCAATGCCACAAAATTGTGCCTTCTTGTCATCCATTTTAGTAGTGAGTGCTTCTTTTCATGGGGGACTATGATGGAAGGAGAATCCAGATCCCAGGTTCTAACAAAAATGACAATCAGTATTCTAAAATTCCTAGATGACTTTAGGAACTTTGAAGTCATAAGAGAAGTCATATTTGAGAAATAAAGTAAATTTTTATTTAGGTTTTAGGATCACATCCCACATCTCACCTTGATTATTCTCTACGTGTGATCAGGCACTGTGGGAATAGAAAGCTCATATTCATTCAACACCTACTACCTAACAGCAATTGCACTGGGCCCTTTACATACATTCATTCTTTATTTCACAATTATGATCATTATATACTATATTTTATCAGTATATACTATTATTCCTTTCAAAAGAGAGCTCAAATGTCAGTCTATGTGTCTCCAGGGCATCTTGATTGAGCTCCTTGTGGTGTTACCTGGTTCTCTAAATGATGTTAATATTATCTTGAACATTATCCTATACTAGTGATGAGTAACCCAGGGTCCCTTCCAATATCTCCAGGTGTTCTTGTATGACTCATCATTTCTCTCCCCAATATCCTGGCACATTTTCCATCTTAATTGTGTCTTTGATAACGTTTCTGTCCCACTTGGCCTCAGGTGGATACTATTCTAATATTTCATTCTACATATGAACTTTGCTATGGACAGAATTTTGAAAGACGTTGAAAGCCTAACTCCAGTACTTGTGTGTATGGCCCTGTTTGGCACTAGGGTTCTTCTTTTGTTATGTTCATAAAATCATACCAGAGGAAGATGTGACCTAAACCTAATCCCTTCTGAGTGGTCTCTTATAAAAGGGAAACACAAGAGACACAAAGGCATAGTGGGAAGGCAAATTGCATGTGAAGATTCACTTATAAGCCAAGGAATATCAAGGACCATTATTAGAGCTACCAATAAGAAAGTATTCACCAATAGAGACACTAATCTGGACTTGTAGCCTCCTAAATGATGAGATAATACATTCTTTTCTTTATAGTAATTTTCATCATAGTGGCACTGGAAACTAAAGGAATCATTTATAAAAAGATTATGGATTATGTAGGTAGTTAAACTCCTTGAAGTTTTCATTTATGAAATGAGTGTCATGTATAGGGAGAGGTGGTACATGGAAGTTGGTTATTGTAGCATAGAATGTATCAGAATGTTTCAAAAAGTTGGTGGAAAGTAGAATGACAAGATCATGAAAAATATTTAAGTCCAAAAAAAATGGTTAAGTCCATTAAATATTTGGTACTAAAAAGTCCCTTGGCCAATCTCAACACCATTGAGTGTTCTGTGATCATTGCTTCATCTACATCAGTATTTCACCAAGGTGCCTAGTTCTTCCTTCTGTCTCATTTTCATCATCACCTAGTCTCAGCTAAATGTGGGCCTTGGCATTGTTCCCAATTTATTATATAGACCAATTGTTTTACTTTAATTTACTCCGGACTTTTCCTGATGTTTCCAGAGCTATCTATTCACAATGAAATAACCCCTGGAGGCAACTTTGCTAAACAATTTCTCTCTCATTGAAATTTCTGGACATTCCTATAGTAAACAATTTTATTCTTTGCTACTCTTTTTTTTTTTAAGAAAAGATTAAAGCTCTTCCTCAGAGAACTTAAACGTTTCTAAGGTTAACTGAAATTAACTGAAACTAAGCCATTGATTTGATTCTGACTCATCTTGACCCTATAGCACTCCTATAGAACACAATAGAAGTGCCCCAGTGGGTTTCTGAGACTAATTCTTTACGGGAGTAGAAAACCTCATCTTTCTTCCTCAGAGTGGCTGGTGGTTTTGAATGGGTGATGTTGAAGTTAGCAGGCCAACTTGGAACCACTAAGCCATCAATGCTCCCCTTCTAAGTTTACAGACTTAGAAATGGTTAAGAACAGGATTTGAATCTGGGATCTTCTGCGTCTGATTCTCTGATGTCGTTTACCATTGCTCCACATTGTTGTTCTGAAGAGGAATGGTTTTATGACCAGTTTCACAAGTGCCCCACATTCATAGACTTTAAGGAACCAATTGTACTTGACTCACTTAATGGGCATGACTTCCTTGATGTCTGTATAAGGCCTTGACCACCGAAGGACTTGTGGTTGGTGTAATGCTCTTCTTTTGCTCTCTTGGTATTCTTGATGACCTTTGAACATAAAGAACTATATTTTCATATTTCATTTGCCAATATAAATTATGCGCCTGGTCCTGCCTTTATCTCAGTCACCTTCTTCCAGACTGTGACAGACTCTCGATTTTCCCCCTCCCCATCCTTACACCAGAAACCATCCGTAACAATTCCTGCATGAAGCATTCAAATATCTTCTAACCTGGCCTTCTGCACTCAGCCCACACATCCTTGAGGCTATAGTTTCTGCTCAAGGATCTCTGGTGGTGGAATGGTTACAAGTTAGGCTGCTAACTGCAAGGTCCCCAGTTCAAAACCACCAACTACTCCATGGGAGAGAGATGGGGCTTTCTACTCCCATAAAGTGTTACAGTCTCAGAAACTCACAGCAGTAGTTTTGCCCTGTTATATAGGGTCGCTATGAGTTAGTCTTGGCTGAATGGCAATAAGTACACATTATACTCAATCCTAGAGAGGACCCTGTGGGAGACCTAGGAATGTGATCATGGTTTTGCCTTCAAGAAATGTAATCCTCCTGAGAGGAAATATCAACATCATTATTATTGCATTCATTAGTATCTTCATCCTAGCAGTTTGTTTTCCAAAATAGGGTTTACCCTTGGTAAGGTTAGCACTGGTAAGGTGAGTGCTCTGGAGAAAAATGTCACTAGACAGCACACTACTGGGAGCATTAGGCAGAAGCTTAAAATATTGCCAATGATCAGCCATATTTAGAAAAAGAGCAATTCTAGGTGGCTCAAACAAATGCATATTTATTTGACACTTGCTGTTGTTGTTAGAAGTCTAGCCTGGCACCTGCTTTTGTCAGTAAAGGTTGAGAGCTGCTGCTCTATAGGGGATAAAACCAGTAGTGGGATTCAAATAATTTACAACAGTTTGCTGACATAACGGCCATCTTAAGTATATAAAAAAAGATACATCCAAAGGCAGTTTATTATTTCATATAATTAATACTTAAATAAGAACAACAAAAGAGAAACACAAAACTTGATGGTATTATAAGTTTTAAAATGTTAATGAAAAAATATTAAATATTGCCTGCCCCAAGCTAATAAAACTGTTATTTAAGGGTTTTCCATATTGCATCTTGATTTGCATTGCACTTGCAATATTCTTCGTTTTTATCCAACTGTCATCAGCTGTGTGATTCATCCTTCACCATTCTTTCACTGTAAGAGGAAGCTCCCATTCCTTTAGACCAATTAGACAATAGTCATTGGAATTGATGTATTAGAAACAGGCCACTTCTCTGAAAATATTAGGTTCATCCTGAAAAAATACCCTTTCTGCTTCTGATGAACTTATAGCAATTGTACTGATGATATTTTAGCTCTGATTTGCAATCAGGAATTGCATATTCATTCATAATATCTCGGGAGAATTTGGACCATTACACAAAGCTGAAACAAATGATATATGTGTGCTTACTGAAGTAACAAACACAAAGGAATGATGGGCAGCAGAGGGGTGGGTGAAGTGAGACGCCGGGCAGGGTAAGATAAGATATAATAATAATTTATAAATTATTAACGGTTCATGGGGGAGGGGGGGAGGGGGGAAAAGGAAAATGAGCTGATTCTGGGAACCCAAGAGGAAAGCAAATTTTGGGAATGATGAGGGCAACAAATGTATAAGTGTGCTTTACACAATTGATGTATGTATTGTGATGAATTGTATGAGCCCCAATAAAATGATTAAATAAAAAAAAGAAAAGGTAACATTTCATGAAAATATAATGAGTTTTATGAAATGGATAAATATTACAAGCATAGTTCCATATAATGTTTCCTAATGTTTCCTATCTATGGACAGATAGGAATTACTCTGCTTGCTTAGAATATGCTGTGGCACAGAGGAGTGCTAAAAATAAATAAATAGGGAATGTCCATTTGTTATTTCGATATTGGGCACTTTCCGCTGACTACCTTAGAGCGAACCCTGATTAGAAGTGCCATTTTAACAACTGGTTCACCAAACTCAACAAAAATAATTACATAATCAGTTCTGCTGAACTGGTCTGAACTGGTTGAATGCTACCCCTGGGTAAGATCCTTAAAGACAAGAACATTTCTTGTCTCGTTTGCTCCTGTATCTTCAGCACTTACCACAATGCTCCAAATACAGAGATTCCAGAATAAATATTTGTTCAAAGGACAAATGAATATGTAATGAAACAATTAATTATGTGTAGCCTCCAAGCCCACTTGGGTCTGTGTTAAATTCTGAGTCTATCCTTTCTGGGTTTCTTCAGAGCAGAGTGAAGGTAGAAATCAAGCAGAGAGAGATAAAACCAACGAATCTCAGACACCATTTCAGACGAAGATTCTTAAGAAAGAGAGCACTTCCCAGTGTCCTTACTGATTACATGGTTTTGGTTAAAGATTAGAACGAAAGCCAGCCGTTCAAGGATCCAGATTAAAGATAGATGCATTTGGTGTTCATGATTACATTAGTTTCTAATGGCTGCTGGAACAAATGACCACATGTTAATGGAAAAAAATGTATTATATTTCTGGAGGTTGGGAGGCTGAGTTCACTGAGCTAGAATTCAGATTTTAATAGAGCTGCATGGTTTGTTGCTCAGTTTTTCCTAAAAAACGTTAGGGGAGAATTTGGGTTTCTTACTCCCCACAGTCCCCTTGTTCGAAAGGCTTGCTTCATTCCTTGGCTTGCAGCCCATTCCCCTGTATTCAAAGCAAGCAGTGCAGTCTTCAAATCTGATTCTTTTGTCTCTTAAGTCTACTTATAAGAATGCTTATAAATTACCCTGGACCCATCTAAACCATCCCGAATAATCTCTCCATCCCCAAACCAGTTGATCAACAGCCTTTGCCATGTCATTTAACACCTTCACCAATTCTGGAGATTAGGACAGATGCTCTTTGGGGGGAACATTTTCTACGTACAAGTACTAAGCCATGAGATCACATTATGATGTTGTCCAATGTACAGACTTTGTAGTGTTTGGAAGGACTGAAATGACAAATGAGCGTCATGATCTGTGTGACTTTACCCCTGGAATGTAGTATATGGGGTGGGGTGGGGGATGGAGGGGAGCATGATTATCTTATCAGTGAGGAAAGGGGGAGAAGAAGTAGCATTCACAAAGCTAACTTAATGGCCAAACTGGTCAAAGCCAGTTTGTATGTTTTGTTTTGTTTTTGTTTTTGTTTTGAACCCCTGGCTAGTCCTTTCCCCTTTTGGGCCTTGTCCTGAGTAATCAGGGTTTGGGACATTTCCTCTTCATTCTCATGCTGCTTTGTTATGGATCTGCTTCTAGGCCATGGATGCTTTGGTGCTCCTTTTCAGTGTGCTGGAGTTCTGTGTTGCTGTGTCCCTCTCCGCCTTTGGATGTAAAGTAGTCTGCGGTAACCCTGGTGGGGTAAGTATCGGGCTTCCCTTGGAAATACCTGTATTTGGTTTTTTTATTGCATTGGAATAAATTGAGAACAGTGGAACAAACAAAGACTGAGAACAATACACATTTAATGTCTTCTAGTTTCCAGGAGTCAGGAGTCCAGGCACAGCTTAGCTTAGAGTCTTTGCTTAGCGTCTTATGAGGCTGCAAAGTGTTGGCTAGAGTTTTGGTCTCATGTGAAACTGATGATCTTTTCCATGTTCACATAGCAGAATTCATTTCCTTTAAACTATAGAACTCATGGCTACTACTTCCTGGAGGGCATCAGGAGAGTAAAAGGCTCTTTTTCTTTAAAGTTATTTTATAGGGCCCATTTGGTTTAGCTTGACCTAAGAAACTCAGCCAGTTGTATGCTGAAACTAGATTAAGAAAAGAAAGAGGGGAGTCTGATAATGACGAGGTTGGGTGGTAATTGGTTGATTCACCTGCAATGTTCTGATTGATTTCACAGATTGTGTTTGTCATGCCCTCGAATCCTCATGTGGCAGAGACAGCACCTACAGCACCGTTTTCAGGATATCTGACGCCTCCCGCAGAACAACAGAGATATATTCCATAAAATGTACCCTGAGAGGGAATGCAAGAACCCCAGCAATCAATTCTGATTTTTTTTAAATTATGTATTTTATAATAAAGTCAGAATAATGTTTTCATTTCCCCCCAAGAATTTGTTGACTTATTTCACTGGATCTTTATTCAAACATAAGTTAAATAAATCATACATTTAATGAATCAACAGCACATGGAAGTTTTCCATCAATCCTTAGAAATGTGTGAGGGCATCAAGTTAGCAAAGCAGACTTGACAATAAAATTGGAAAATATATTACTGAAATGGGACCACTCGGTAAATTTGAAGGGCTTTGAAAAATGCATGAAAATGTAATCAAAAGATCATGGGATTTTCCCATTAAGTTATTGAACTCCCGTTATTGTCTTCCTATGTGTTAGATTTTCTTTCTCTACCTTTGGGGATACAAGGTGTTTTAGCCCTCAGGAAGTTGATATACATATCTCCCTGACTGCTCATTTCCTTCTTTTGAGTTCCTTATACAGAGAGTACTCAGAGGACATTCATTCCATATATGTGCACAATATGTTACTTAGGTACAAGTACACATGGAATAAAAACACCATGAATCAGATTTACCTTATATTCCTCCATCCCGCTTTATAGAACTCCGCTCTCCTTCTACTTCTTTCTTTTTCCCAATTGTAATCAGGTCATGGAGTAGTGCCTGACCTCCTCTGACTTCACAAGGCGGGAGGTGAATCGAGCTCCCTATCAGCCCAAGAATGATACCTATGAGGCATACCTCCACCATTCAACCTTCTCTGCTAGTAATAGATAATAGGTTGCAATGATCAAACAGAATGTACAGACAAGACTCACAGTCAGAAGATTGATTAGAGAAGTTCACAGGGTATAATTTAGGATAGAATATGCTCAAGACACAGTTCTAGTCAGGTCCGCTTCTTCTTAGCTGTGCCTGCAGGCAGGGACCTCTGGTTTTTGCTCTTTAGCCATTTGACTCTGTGGCTTCTCATGTGCTTGATCAATGATAAAGAACTCCTTTAGTGTGGTCAGTCAATGCCTGCCATTCAGGCTGAAGGTGCCCCGCCATATTTCCATGGATCAGCAAATCTGGCTCCTGTGTCTGGAGGCATCCCCTACTCCCAAACACTCAGTTTTACTCCACCATAAGCATAAGAAAGCAAAGATCATAAAAATGGCAAATATGTGGTAGTCGAGAGGCACCATTCATTGGACATCCTCCAAGTAGGAGATCCAAACCAAAGTCCAACAAAAACTAGTAGGAACTCTAGACCAGAGGATGTACACTGGTAGAGATAAGAATTGAAAATACAGGAAATCCAGGGTGGATGAACCCTACAGGACCTGTGGTGTGAGTGGCGATACTGGGAGGGTAGAGGGAGAGTGGGTTGGAAAGAGGGAACCAATTACAAGGAACTATATGTGACCTTCTCCCTGGAGGATGGACAACAGAAAAGTGGGTGAAGGGAGATGTAGGACAGGGCAAGATATGACAAAA